CTATCCACTTGCCTTATCCTTGGGGAAAAATTCTTCTAAAAAATTTGTTCTAAAAACCACAATAAATTATTTCTTATCATTTTTTTTTCGACATTTTACAATCAAAAAGTCCAAATTTTTTGATCTCTCTCTTCAAAGGTGTATTATGCGCGCCATTCCTCAGGATTGTTGTTTTGTTCCCGTCTTCTTCCGAGATAATGGCGCGAACATATAAATTAATGACTGTTGATTATACATTAGCCGGAAAGAAAATACGAACTCGGTTCTCCACTGACTTGGCAATGACTGGCAACACGGCCACGTCGTTTTATATATAATACACCGTGCTTGAATCTTTGATATATCAAACGGTTTCAGTTTTTGTTTTATTGCAGAAATTTCAGACAATGTGGGCATACTTGAATAAAGACAAAAGAGCACTTTCTTGATATTAACCCTTTCCACTCGCACAATACAAAATTAATACGAACTATGTCGCCGCAGCGGCGGCACTCGAGTGGGAGGGGTTAATTGCACTATCAAATTTATAATAATACACCTTGATTGATTCTTTGATATATTAAACGGTTTCATTTTTGTTTTATTGCAGAAATTTTAGACAATGTGAACATACTTGAATAAAGGCAAAAATCCACTTTCTTAATATTAACCCTTTCCACTCGCACATTGCAAAAGTAATACGTACTATGTTGCCGGAGCGGTATACGAGTGGAAAGAATTAAGTGCACTAGCAAATTTAGAAACACCATTTCGTGGTAAATAAAAATTTACTTATGTTATATAAACTTTAAAGAACAAAATTATACTTGAAAGTTTGTATGGAATTTCCAATATGCCAATATCAAATATTGGAGTCGATGTAAAGATTTTTTTTTTTTTATTCAACAATATCGATGTAAAGATGATATCGAATAATTGAAATATTGAAGTAATATTTTTGGTCAAATATTTATCAATGAATACACAGTTTATTATTAGAGTCATTAAAACGATTGAAATATTTTAATGCAATTTTGGTGACTTGTATCAAGAGATTTCTAGAGGAAAAGATTTCTTTTTTTTATAATTATTAATAGACATTTAATAATTATATGGTTTATATCTATTATGATAGTGAAGAAGATTTAATAGTAAGTATCGTTGGTAAAAAAATGAAAGAAATTGAAAACCTTTGAATGAACCACATGGTGCTTACATAAATATCGAGAACAAAGAAAACCGCTGGTGAGATTAGATTGAAATAACGTCATTAACCTCTGATACTTTGACCGCGCACCGTTGATCTTTCGTGCTTCTCGCTTTGCAATCTTATTTTACTTTTATTTATTATCATAAAGAATATGCGAGAGGAGAATAATGTATTCTCACCTTAAATATGTTTTGAAGCGTTTTTAGTAAAAATGCTTTAGGTAATTTTTTTTACCTCAGAAAGCTCATGTTATGTGCAGCTTAATTTTAACATAGCAAGTTAACTTCCAACTTCTGAATAAAACATCCAGAAAATAGTAGAAAGTACTAGGTAAAGTATTTTCTTACGTAGAAAATTCTAGTAAATATGTTTTTGCCAGCGATATATTTAGACATTGACAGACAGATATTTTCATATTTTACTACAAAATCTTTGTATTATGTTTATATTATTAGTTTTACTAGAGCAAACCCAGAATTGGATGTCGTATGTTCACGTAGTTCTTAAAATGAACTGAATCTTGTTCTTAAAAGCTGACGCAGTTTTCGAGCGAGTTGAGTTGGCTTTGATTTTTCTTGATGTGTATTTTTCAATTTAACTTTTTGCAAAGGTATTTGACGACATTCTCTTGTGTAATTTCCATACATCAAAATGGCAGGGTAATTTTTTACTCTAAGCAAAAAGGGGCCGTTCAATAATCACGTGATTGACTTTTAAATACTGTTGCACTTTTTTCCTTTGGTCATTCGTGACGATATATGAAATTACTCCTCTCTCCCCTATCCAGGATTAGGTACTAGTACTTTACTTTTAGTACTTTAAAAAAAATTTAAAAATAAATACACGTAATACCTTGCTATGTAAACAGACAGACTATTAAACAAGTAGCCTGTTAAACAAAATAGATTGGTAAACAGGTAGAAAAGTAGCACACGTAGGCTGATAGGCACATAAAATAGACAGACAAGTAGATAGGTTGATAGGTTGACAGGCAAACAGGTGGACATGTAGATCACAGATAATTCAAATAATATATTTTGATCAAATCGGTTACACTTATCGGAAAGTTCTTGCAACTTACCGCAATGGAATGTGCTACTTACAACTGTTTTTTTAAATTAAAAAACTAATGGAAAGTCTAAGGACTTTTGCACCTCTTTCCCTTAGTTATTCGTGGCTATATTTGAAAATACACCTTCACTTTTAGTACCTTGAAAATATCGTTTGTGATTTTTTTTTAAAATAAATACACTTGATATCTTGCTGGACCTCCCCCTTGTGGGAATTTGTGATTTTATATCAAATTTCTCCGACACCAAAGGCTAGTTTTTTGGATGTTGATTCCAAGTCTGACTTTATATAGTCCAACTAAATATCAACATTTTCTCATAGTTGAATAATATTACATTAAAAATAAGTCAAAATAAAATACAAATGTATATAAATGAAAGGTAAATTTAATAATTTTAGTAACGCTAAAGGCAAATGTAACAAGAAAATGCATGCTGCGCAAAATTGCGTACGTTTACAATTGTCTATTCAGGCCAGAGATAAATAAGTATGAATGGTTCAGACAAATCGACAAATGAATCACTCACCATTACATTTATGGATATGGAATCAATCATAATAATTTTTAGCTAACAGATTTATTACTATCCAATATCACAAATTGATTGGAAGAAATTGAACCCATTTTACAAAAAAGTGCTTCCTACACGACGTTATCTAAAGTAAAATAGGACTGAAAGAACTGGTATTATGAAGAGTGCAGGCGATTGTAGCATACGCATGGACAGAAAATGAAGGAAACTGAAAGCTGAAGACCGGAAAGCATGGAAGTAGAAGTTTGGAAAAAAAATTCATAAAAATCTCAACAAAAAACATTGCGAATGAAATAGTTACAGTTATTGATTTTGTAGTGCGCTCACACAATGGACTTGCCTCCGAGCAGACAATCATATATTATTCATTATTATTACTATCACATTATTATTCTCCAATATATGTTATCTTCATGAACATTATGCGTGCGCCACGTACCATCCGTGATCCGTGGTTCTCTTGTTCTTTGCGGTATTATGTCTGTAGTATATAATATTGTGGTAGGTCGCTTCGTTATTTATACCGCGTGGCCTCTCCTTGACCCCTGAACTTGGGAATAGTAGTAGCGTTTGTTTACAGACCGACAAACGTATGCGCACGCGACCAAAAGAACCCGCTGAGAAGAGGGCATCAGATACATTCAAACTGTGGGTAATGTATTGATGAATTCGATATTTTTGATGTGAGATAATAAAGATGATGTAAGGTTAAGGTCGGAGAGACACTTATAAAATATATCAATGAGAAAATACTGATTTAATTGCACAGCAGGTAATACCAAGTGCTAATTAAGTTAAATTCCTAGATATTAATCTAAACTGCAGACTATCATGGGAACACCACATCACAACACAGTCCAGAGTTAGGTACATGTATTGACTTATTTAACATAATTCAAATTTAGCACTCGAAAATAAAATCTTGGTTTATATAACGATAATAATTTCTATTTGGACATACGGAATAGAGCTTTGGGGCTGGTATAGCAAATCGAATGTGGCATTGGTATATCAAACCTAATCAAAACTACTTAGAATGATAAGTGCACCCTTGTGTGTGAGTAATATAACTCTTCATGATGATCTGATTGTGCTGTATATTAAAGACTTTACATATATAAACAGGATTCACTAATGATCCTGAAATTTGCCCAATTCACTCGTTGCCGCGCTGTTGATGATGACTTGGATTGTAATATAGAAGTGATACTATAGAATTAATAACTAAAAGACACTCATAACAAATATCCATGATATTGTTTTATTTACCATTCAAATTTTAATCTGTCTTAGTGAAGACATTCACAGTAATTGATTAAATATCCATAACAAAAGACTGTTTTAATTGCACAGCAGGTGAAACCAAGTGCTGATTATGTTAAATACCTAGAAATACATCTAGACCAAAACCTAACATAAAAACACCACATCGCAACAAAAATCAACATTACCAAAGCCACAGTTAGGGAATTTCATTGACTTCTTTAACATAATTCAAAATTAGCACTCGAAAACAAAATCTTGGTTTATAAAATGATAATAATTTCTATCTAGTCATGCGGAATAGAGCCTTGGGGTTGCTCTAGCAAATCTAATATGACATTAATACATCAAAACTATTTAGAATGGAGACAAGTTCAGCCTTGTAGGTGGGTAATAAAACTCTGCATCATGATCTCAATGTGCTCTAAAATAAAGACTTTATGAAAACAAGATTTACCAATTATCCTCACAAATTAGAAAAAAGACCCAGTTCACTCGTTGCTCCTTACACCAGAAATAATAAGATATAAAAATTATGACCTATTAACTTGATCCCTTGTATCTGATAGTAATTATCCACTCGGTCTCCTCGGTCTTGGTCTCGGTCTCGGTCTCGGTCTCGGTCTCGGTCTCGGTCTTGGTCTTGGTCTTGGTCTCGGTCTCCTCGGTCTTGGTCTCGGTCTCGGTCTCCTCGGTCTTGGTCTTGGTCTCGGTCTTGGTCTCGGTCTTGGTCTCGGTCTCCTCGGTCTTGGTCTCGGTCTCCTCGGTCTTGGTCTTGGTCTCGGTTTCCTCGGTCTCGGTCTTGGTCTCGGTCTTAGTCTCGGTCTCCTCGGTCTCGGTCTCCTCGGTCTCGGTCTTGGTCTCGGTCTTGGTCTCGGTCTCGGTCTCGGTCTCCTCGGTCTCGGTCTCGGTCTCGGTCTTGGTCTCGGTCTCGGTCTCGGTCTCGGTCTCCTCGGTCTCGGTCTCCTCGGTCTCGGTCTCGGTCTCGGTCTCCTCGGTCTCGGTCTCGGTCTCCTCGGTCTTGGTCTTGGTCTCGGTCTCGGTCTCGGTCTCGGTCTCCTCGGTCTTGGTCTTGGTCTCGGTCTCGGTCTCGGTCTCGGTCTTGGTCTCGGTCTCCTCGGTCTTGGTCTCGGTTTCCGTCTCCTCGGTCTTGGTCTCGGTCTCGGTCTCCTCGGTCTCGGTCTTGGTCTCGGTCTCGGTCTTGGTCTCGGTCTTGGTCTCCTCGGTCTCGGTCTTGGTCTCGGTCTCCTCGGTCTTGGTCTTGGTCTTTGTCTCGGCCTCGGTCTCGGTCTCGGTCTCCTCGGTCTCGGTCTTGGTCTCGGTCTCGGTCTCCTCGGTCTTAGTCTCGGTCTCCTCGGTCTCGGTCTTGGTCTCGGTCTTGGTCTCGGTCTCGGTCTCCTCGGTCTCGGTCTAGGTCTCCTCGGTCTCGGTCTAGGTCTCGGTCTAGGTCTCGGTCTAGGTCTCGGTCTAGGTCTCGGTCTAGGTCTCGGTCTCGGTCTCGGTCTCGGTCTCGGTCTCCTCGGTCTCGGTCTCGGTCTTGGTCTCGGTCTCCTCGGTCTTGGTCTCGGTTTCGGTCTCCTCGGTCTTGGTCTCGGTCTCGGTCTCCTCGGTCTCGGTCTTGGTCTCGGTCTCGGTCTTGGTCTCGGTCTTGGTCTCCTCGGTCTCGGTCTCCTCGGTCTCGGTCTTGGTCTCGGTCTCCTCGGTCTTGGTCTTGGTCTTTGTCTCGGCCTCGGTCTCGGTCTCGGTCTCGGTCTCCTCGGTCTCGGTCTTGGTCTCGGTCTCGGTCTCCTCGGTCTTGGTCTCGGTCTCCTCGGTCTCGGTCTCGGTCTCGGTCTCGGTCTCTTCTGTCTTGGTCTTGGTCTCGGTCTCTTCTGTCTTGGTCTTGGTCTCGGTCTTGGTCTCGGTCTTGGTCTCCTCGGTCTCGGTCTCGGTCTCGGTCTCGGTCTTCTCGGTCTTGATCTTGGTCTCGGTCTCGGTCTCCTCGGTCTTGGTCTCGGTCTCCTCGGTCTCGGTCTTGGTCTCGGTCTCGGTCTCCTCGGTCTCGGTCTAGGTCTCCTCGGTCTCGGTCTAGGTCTCGGTCTAGGTCTCGGTCTTGGTCTCGGTCTCGGTCTCGGTCTCGGTCTCGGTCTCCTCGGTCTCGGTCTTGGTCTCGGTCTCGGTCTTGGTCTCGGTCTTGGTCTCCTCGGTCTCGGTCTCCTCGGTCTCGGTCTTGGTCTCGGTCTCCTCGGTCTTGGTCTTGGTCTTTGTCTCGGCCTCGGTCTCGGTCTCGGTCTCCTCGGTCTCGGTCTTGGTCTCGGTCTTGGTCTCGGTCTTGGTCTCGGTCTTGGTCTCGGTCTTGGTCTCGGTCTTGGTCTCGGTCTTGGTCTCGGTCTTGGTCTCGGTCTTGGTCTCGGTCTTGGTCTCGGTCTTGGTCTCGGTCTTGGTCTTGGTCTCCTCGGTCTCGGTCTCCTCGGTCTCGGTCTCCTCGGTCTCGGTCTCCTCGGTCTCGGTCTCCTCGGTCTCGGTCTCCTCGGTCTCGGTCTCCTCGGTCTCGGTCTCCTCGGTCTCGGTCTCCTCGGTCTCGGTCTCCTCGGTCTCGGTCTCCTCGGTCTCGGTCTCCTCGGTCTCGGTCTTGGTCTCGGTCTCGGTCTTGGTCTCGGTCTCGGTCTTGGTCTCGGTCTCGGTCTCGGTCTCGGTCTCGGTCTCGGTCTCGGTCTTGGTCTCGGTCTTGGTCTTGGTCTCGGTCTTGGTCTTGGTCTCGGTCTTGGTCTCGGTCTTGGTCTCGGTCTTGGTCTCGGTCTTGGTCTCGGTCTTGGTCTCGGTCTCGGTCTCGGTCTCGGTCTCGGTCTCGGTCTCGGTCTCGGTCTCGGTCTCGGTCTCGGTCTCCTTGGTCTTGGTCTTGGTCTTGGTCTCGGTCGTGTCTCGGTCTTGGTCTCGGTCTCCTCGGTCTTGGTCTCGGTCTCCTCGGTCTTGGTCTCGGTCTCCTAGGTCTCGGTCTTGGTCTCGGTCTTGGTCTTGGTCTCGGTCTTGGTCTCGGTCTTGGTCTCGGTCTCGGTCTCGGTCTCGGTCTCGGTCTCGGTCTCGGTCTCGGTCTCCTCGGTCTTGGTCTCGGTCTCGGTCTCGGTCTCGGTCTCGGTCTTGGTCTCGGTCTCGGTCTTGGTCTCGGTCTCGGTCTCGGTCTCGGTCTCGGTCTCGGTCTCGGTCTTGGTCTCGGTCTTGGTCTTGGTCTCGGTCTTGGTCTTGGTCTCGGTCTTGGTCTCGGTCTTGGTCTCGGTCTTGGTCTCGGTCTTGGTCTCGGTCTTGGTCTCGGTCTCGGTCTCGGTCTCGGTCTCGGTCTCGGTCTCGGTCTCGGTCTCGGTCTCGGTCTCCTTGGTCTTGGTCTTGGTCTTGGTCTCGGTCGTGTCTCGGTCTTGGTCTCGGTCTCCTCGGTCTTGGTCTCGGTCTCCTCGGTCTTGGTCTCGGTCTCGGTCTTGGTCTCGGTCTCCACGGTCTTGGTCTCGGTCTCGGTCTCCTCGGTCTTGGTCTCGGTCTCGGTCTCCTCGGTCTTGGTCTCGGTCTCGGTCTCCTCGGTCTTGGTCTTGGTCTCGGTCTCGGTTTTGGTCTCGGTCTCGGTCTTGGTCTCGGTCTCGGTCTCGGTCTCCTCGGTCTCGGTCTTGGTCTCGGTCTCGGTCTTAGTCTCGGTCTTGGTCTCGGTCTCGGTCTTGGTCTCGGTCTTGGTCTCGGTCTTGGTCTCGGTCTCGGTCTCGGTCTCGGTCTTGGTCTCGGTCTCGGTCTCGGTCTCGGTCTTGGTCTCGGTCTCGGTCTCGGTCTCGGTCTCGGTCTCGGTCTCGGTCTCGGTCTCCTCGGTCTTGGTCTCGGTCTATATATTTTAATATTTATATATTTAGTTAAAACCTTAAAAATATCCCTCACACTATTAGTTATGCTTTTCGTTAAATATAAATCATTTTTAACGATTTTCAAACTTTATTGGATTTATCTGCTTCTTAAATTTACTCGTGACATTTTAAATAAAAAACGATTTTAAATCATAAATTTGTACTAAAGTATATATATATATATATATATATATATATATATATATATATATTATTCTAAATATTTAGTTAAAACCTCAAAATAATATATAGTTCTGAAAACTTAGCCTTTACCAAGTTGCAAATATTTTTTATGAATTTTTCAAACTCTACTTTAAATTGACTTCAGAAATATCACGATGCGATAATAATATATGTATAAAAAGCGATTTTAACTAACAAATATATACTAAAATAAACATTTTTGACTTAAATAAATAGCTTAAACTTCAAAAAAAATTATTAGTATCAAAATTACCATTTCATTTAATTTTAAATTATTTTTAACGAATTTTGAAATCTTTGTTGTATATATTAGCTCAGAAGATCCTTCTTGACTAAAAAGAGGTTTTAAATAATAATTTTCTACTAGAGTATATACATTTATTTATTTAAATATTTAGTCAAAACTTCAAAAAACTTTTTGCACAAAAAATCATCTTTCTATACTATTTTTATCTAATTTTTATCTAATTTTTATCTAATTTTTATCTAATTTTTATCAATTTTTATCAATATTTTCCTCCCCAGGTATACAGATTTGGCCTGGCTAGAAGAAAACGTTCGAGGGCAGGATTATTTCAAATGCATGTCCTCGATTTCTGCAAATCCTTTAAGTACTGATGCAACCAGGACAATTGGCAAAAAATGATCGACAGGTTCGGATTGGGGGAAAGAAATTTGGGCAGACTTATTCCATCTGTTACCGACAGATTTACTACTGAGGATAGGCTGAAAGAGGTAAAAAGACGATATGAAAGATGATACAAAATTATCATTTATTCAAAATTTTTATATCGGAGTGTATAAAAGTGTGACCTAGGAAATGTTGTAAATTTTATCTAGTTTCACCCTGTGTAATTGAAAAGGGGTGGTTTTATATGAAGTATTTGAGTTATTTGACAAAAACCAAAAAAATGTCCCGAATTAAAATTTAATTTTTCAGATGATTGACTTCTTTGCCAAATTTCCGGAGGCCGGAGCAGGAGCTGCTGCTCGGAAACAAGCCCTGGAAACTGTTTCCAATAATATAAAATGGTTAAAAGTTAACAAAGACATTGTTGCAAAATGGTTGAACGAGAGGAAATGATTTAAAAAAATATATATGAGTGCTCTTCAGTGTTGAAAGTCGAACGTAATTGTAAAACTAAACAGAAAGTTTTTTTTTTATTAAATAAATAAAGTATGTACATATTTTTGTTATTAATTTAATTTCAAGGTATTCCTCTGTCTGTAAAAAAATAATAGAAGCAATAATAATATGCGTTTAATTTTTGTATTTTGTATAAATAAAAATTGATATATTTTGTATATCTTTTATATATTATATGGTGCAATTTAACACTGATTTGATTTTAAATAAGAGCAAATTAATAATTAAATGAATATATAAACAAGATTTAAAACAAAAAACAAGTCAAAATAGAAAATATTTTTCAGTTAAAACAGGTTTTATAGCTGCTCGAAGACTGAGATTATATCGTCAACAAATGAGTAAAAAAAATACCATCAGCCAATGAATGTATGTTAATTTTAATTACATGAAGTTCTTCAAACAGAATTATTACATGACGAGTGAAGTTGCAAAAACAATATTTGGCGTTGTTTAACATAATAGTTATCTTCATTTTTATAGCTCATAAAAAATATTGAAGCAGTACACCTTTATTCTATCATGCCTAAGATATATCCTTTTCAGAATTATATCTCAGATATTTTTGGTAGTTTAGATGAAGTCTACATGTTTTTCGATCATGCTAAGTATTACAAAGTTGCATAATGAAGAATAAATTGATATTCAGATTTATTAGTCTAAACAAGAGTTGAAGCACAAGAATAGTTTGTGTAGGATTGTATCATTTCTATACATATATACTTTATAATGGACATCTATGCTATAAATAAACTATTTATTTGTTACAAGTTTACTGTGTGAATTTATTAATCAGCAATTACTTCATTTCTTTAATGAAGGTTCATTTTTAAATGCTAATTACAATGACAAACCGACAATGTCATATCCGAAGTATGACTTTAATTACATTATTGTTTGTAAATATTATACATATTTTTAATGCTATTATAAATATATAATTTATCATTATCATATAAATGTGTATAATGGTTGACACTAATAAATGTGTGCATCACGAGTGTTACCATATTACTGATGAACGTTATTCAAAATTGTTATATGATGTATTTATTTTTACTTAAATGCCATCTCATACAACAACAAAAAAGTTTTACTTCAATACTTATTATATTTGCAATGCGTTACAAATGTGAAATAAAGTTATAACAATTTGCATATATCATTTAGTCAAAATTCAAATTTGAAATTGGCGCCCTTTGTGGCGCTACTGCTCACCGATCGAAAACTCTGAAGTTGCTCAAAATGGCGACCTGTCAGCACTTATTGAAGGCGCCTT